GCTATAAACCTTTTATATGGGTTCATTGCCTTATGTAGTTCACATAAAATGTGATCAGTTGTTAAAAGGAAAGGAAAAAATAATTTTAGTGTCATAAGAATGTCTTCAATATGCAGTGAGATATACTAAAGAGGACAAAACTAGTTTAGACTGTTAAAATGACTCACAGCACTACTCATCATGGCATCTCATGACATCTAGAGACTAAACTGTCTCTTGTATGTCACAATAGTTAGCACTAGTAACGCCATTTCAAAATAACAAGTTTTGAAGTGCAGTTGTCTGTAAGAGTTTTCTGGTCTTTTTTCTGACCAAAAATTTGTGTTTCTGATACATGTGGCAGTCTATATGTACATTAATCTTATTGTCGTCCTCTAGAAATTTACCACTACTGGAGTGCATACTGTGCTAGGTGATTTATCTGACCTTGTAGAGTAGTCTTTAAATAAATCTATCAATATTATGTTTGCATCCATAAATGGAACTGGACATTGTTGACATCAGACAAGGTGAAAAGAATCCTACTAAACATGACATTAATTCAGGGATATTAATTAATGATCAAGTTCCTCTTAAAAGTGCCAAGAAGTTGCTAGGCTTAGATGACCATAAAAATTTTCAAAGGTAAATGATAAAATACAGACAGTGAACCATGTTTGTGGAGGTGCTGTATTCCCTGCCACAGCAGCCTAGACGATGCCCACAGCTCGTTGGAAGAGCCGTTTATTGATCTTCAGTTAGGTGCATAGTTAGGTGCCACCTGCAGACCACCGCAGCAGGGCTGTGGCTTCTCAAGGCTAGCTCTACGCTGTATGCCTCAGCAGCAGAGTGGGTCAGAGGTGTGAAGAAAAGATGCGATCCCTGGCTGAGATAGCTGTACTAAGAATGTCCCCTGTTGCAGGTGCAGTTGTACAGCGAAGCTATTTGTTAGGGTTTTGGTGGAGTGTGGTGTGTCTTGCTGGGAGGGCAATGCTAGCAGAGCAGACTACAGTGATGCAATCCTTCTTGCAAAGGTGTTTCGTTACTGTGCAGCAGCACCCCACGATAGCCTTATCAGGAGATGAAGTTTTAGGTTCCATTGTAGATAACAATAGTGTATGGGTGAGCTAGCTCCTAAACAGCAGAGAAGAAATTATGTAAATGAAGACTGCAGCCAATCCATTTTTTCCTTTGTATGATCCTTTTACAGATGGCACCAAGTTCATTCCTTATTCCCTTCAAACTTCAAATGTGTGCAGTGTGCTGCAGATATTTGAAGTGATAATGAATAGCTTTCTTGTTAATAACATTACAAGAGAGACGGTGATAAGGGCAGACAAGCAGGGAATGGCTGGAGCTCGATCAGCAGCGGGGAATGCCAGTATCTCTGGCAGCAAGGAAGCTGAGAAAGCAAAGCAAGGCCAAGAACAAACTTTAACAGGCCCCTTGGATTCAGGAGTAAGAATAGTTTCACACCACTCCTAAAGCAAGCTTTTTGCTAGTTTATTTCCTTCATTATTCTCCACTGTAGAAAGCTGTGACTTCTTTTTTTCTACACAGTCAATGAGGCATGTTGTAATAGCTATTTACTTTTTTTACCCTCAGGGATTTTTTCCTTTAAAAAGAAAGGGATCATCTGGCTTTTTCACTTCGAAGGAGAAAAAATTGGGACATTGTTCTTTTTGCTTCCAAGCAAAAGTAGAGACTCTACCAAAGTAGAGAATGGATAGCTATTTACACAGTCTGTAATGCTACTGCTACTACAAATAGTTATTGGTTGCTATTTGGGTTACATTCACAAAAACATAAAAAACACTCAAACATAGATTGCATGAAAATTAAAATCAATAACTAAACCTTCTTTGCATTGCGTCACGTAACAATTTGAGCTTCTCAGTTCCTTCTAATATTGCTGTTTTAAAAGGTATTTCATAGAAAATCTAGATACCTTGGTACTTCTCTAATATATCTATGAATTCCAATTTGCTGTCAATGAAGTTGTTCATTTTTCTGATTAATCTCAGTGTACGAATGGACAATATTGTTTATTTACAGATGTTTATTATCTTTATGTCTTTCTTCTGTAGATCTGTAATTCTCTGCAATGACATGAAATGGAAGACCAGGTGATATTTTACTGCTGGCTTCCTTCCTTGTCAAAATACTTTTTTAAAAAAATATAGCCTTTTAAAATTAAGGGGGTTTTGTTATCAGTTTGTATTGAAGAACAGTAAATATTGTGTGTAATTTCAGAGCACATTAAAGCAGATAATGCATCTGGAATTTTGGATTTTTTTCTCAACCTTCTGAAAATTGTTACTTTTCATAGAAGCAGAGTTCCATGTATGAACAGAGCCCCCAAATCTGATGTGGTGACCCTGAGTAGTACAGCCAGCACCATCAAGATGTGGAAACCTTGATTTCTATTTGAAGAGGTTTCAGTTTATAACCTTTCAGTTTGAGCAGGCTTTTTCTTTGATTCCATTTTTTCCAGTAACTGTAAGGTACTGGATTCTGTGTACCCAGCTGGAGTTCTGGAGGTGTAGCCTGACCTAGACAGCCATTATCGCAGTCTACAAAGCCAAAATGGAATTGTGATACATGGCCTGTGACGATCCTTGTCAGCAGACTAAGTAAAAAGTTTTTTGTTTGGACTGTGATGGCAAGTTCTGTGAGAGCACTTTTTGGACCAGTAAGGGATCTGATTGCCAAAACTAAGACTTAGGCCGTCATTTGGCTGTTGCTTCAATACTCTTGATACTTCTGCTCTTCAGACATGTTTTGGAAGATAGCAGTATCTCCTGTTGCATTTTGTGGGGATCCAAATTGTGCTGGACACTTGGACCACAACCCCAAGAGAACGAGGCTCCCTCTGGACCCTGGTCAATCATAAGTGTTAGAATGGAGAGTTTTTACACATGCAGTGATAGAGCTGTCTGATGAAAGTTGCCATGACTGTGAACTGCAGTCTTCGGAGTTATGTAGCTGTTGCAGGGGGGGAAGGAAATGCTCAGAAATGCAACACTAACCTTATAAACCTGAACTCTGCCTAAATCCTGCTGGATACTGATAGGGCTGTTTAGATCTGTGCCATGGTCCTTAGAAATCAAGACTTTTCTCCCATTGATGCCTGTGCTCTCAAGAAACGTTTACGATGCCTTTTGTGATAGTAACAACTTGCAAATGAGAATCAGTTTCAGTAGAGCTAATTGTATTGGAGCCACCATTTCCTCATGTGAAACATGAAGGACATTTGTTACTGGGAAACAATCCATTGCATTTTTATAATCTTACTTGTGCTGTATTCTGAACAGAAGTCTGAATGCAATGAAATGCCATTCATTCGTGTTTTAGAAACAATGCCCTCTATTCTGAGAATATTTTTCCAAGCCTTATTTGCTAAAAGCAAGTCAGAGGAAGACAAAGTAAAAGTCATTCTTCATTTTAGCAGAACCTGTTGCTCTCCACTGGTCAGTCAGCACAGGAAATCAGCATGCTGAGAAAATACCTGCATGTCATGAAAAACCGCAATGTGCTTCAAGTTGCTTTACAGACACTAAGCAAGTTGCTTTGGTTTCAGAAAAAAACCTGACCCTACTTCCCTTTTCCTTTAGCCAGTGTCCTGTTCACATCTTCGGCAACAAGAATCACTTTGCTTGAAAAAATAGTTGTATGAGTAGGTCAGATATAACACAGTTTTAGTTCAGCCTTGAGTGAATCAGCTGAGGAGCAGAATTTAATGCTTGTCTCTGCAATCTTCTGAGATGCGATAGCAAGTACCAGTGTTGCACCAGTGAAGCTTCCCGACACCTTAGTGAGCATATCCTGCTATATTTCTTTTCAAGGCTTTCGAAAAATTCAAGGGAGAGTGAGTAGACTCCTGCACACATTGGAACAAGAAATGTTTCAGTGTTGCTGAATCTGGATTTTTCTTAAGAAAAACCCATTATTCCAGAAAATTTTAATCTAGCTCTATTGCTATCTCACTCTCAGCAGCAAGTGAACACAGGCAACTCAAACTAAAAGAAAAAGCCTACTTTCTAAACTCAGAAATGCTATGCTAATCATGATGGAGCTAGTAGAAAATTCCTATAACTCTGGGTCAAGTCACCAGAAGGCACTGGTCTCAGTGTGAGCTAGCCTTGAGTATACATAAAACAACTCGGGAACACTTTACAGGCATCTCAGGTGTTGCTTGCAGATCTCCTGGAAGACGGAGTTCATCTAAAATTGTGAATTTTAGGCAATGTTTTTACATTACATTCCATGATCTCTCCCTGGTGAAGTTTAGAGCAGATATATACCCCAATACCATGTGAAATTTCATGTGACTTTTATGTGAAATCTGCAGCAAAGCATTAATGTCTTTACAGAAATCATAAGAATTGCTGATTACAGAAACGTTTCATTTACTTTAAATTCCCAGCCAAACAACAAACTGTGGCAGTGCACAAAGGTTTTCCCTTTATTTGTATTTCAGATTACATTCTTTTAGTATTTTATCTTCTGCCCTTACTGTCAACTCTTCATTTCAAAATAAAAGAAATGAGAGAAATCTTGCTTTAATGAAGGCACTTATCTGTTGTTTTTAATTTTAGATCAGCGGTAGAGGAGATTGAAGTGTAGCTGCTTGTATACACTAGATCCTGGCCTGAGACTTCCATGGGCTTCATAGGCCTGCAGTGTACAAGCCTTTAAATGCTTCCTTGCTGAGAGAGTGCTTTGTGCACTGCACAGTGTTCTGTAGCTGCCTAGCAAAGAGCTCCACATTGTGGATTTTCTGTTGTCATCTGTTGCCTTTTAGGGGGAAAAAAAAAAGAAACTTCAGAGAATTCTGTCTGAAAAAAAATGACTAAGAGATAAATAAAAGGCTTAACAAAACGTCTTCAGAAGTTGTGGTGCTGATTTTACTTTGGTTTGAATTCAAAAGCTTACAGGAAAGCATGATTTCAAAAAGAATTTCAACACAGATGCTCATTCCTAGTGAAGCGTAACCCTGAAATTCTCTCTTACTCTTACAGTATCCGAGAAAGGGACAGCAATGGTTCCTATGCCCTGTGTCTGCTGAATGATGGAAAAGTACTGCATTACCGAATTGACAGAGATAAGACAGGAAAGCTCTCCATACCGGATGGAAAAAGATTTGACACCCTCTGGCAGGTCTGTTATATTTGAATCACTTGGATATCTGTCATCGTGTTTCCATAAAGCTAAGTCAGCTTTTTTTACTTTGCTGTGCAACAACAGTCTTTAGCTAAACAGCAACATGTTTTGGCAGGTTATTTGTCATATGTTTCCAACTTTATGTGGCTTCTATACATGAAGATAATACATGTTAATATAAAAAGCTATATAAGTGTAGAGAATTTAATAATTTTTAAATGTGATGTTGCAGCTTGGCCGAGTTCAAAATTGCTGTAATTATTATTCAGTTAGCTGAACATTCTCTAGAATGGAAGACTGTTTTCATTTGCAAGTGACCGTATTCAATAATAGCTATGCTAGGTATAGTCTTTTGTTAATGTTTTTTATGACAGCAATAAACAGAATTCTAGGAAGCGTAAGGGGGATGGTTTAGGATGCTGTATACATACTGCATTCTTTAGCTTTAAAATTCTCTACCTTCAAGGCTGAAAAAGCATAATTTGCTGAGGGTTACCACCAAAATATGCCTGAAGCCTGGTAAAGATTAAGCAATTAAGGAATGCATAGCTGACTGTGCCATAGTCGATAATAAAAGTGAATACTGGAGAAATGACTGCATAAATTAAAAATGCTAAGGGAATTGACACCCCTGCAGAAATCTCTTATGTCCTCTTGCTTAAAATTCTATTAAAACAAGTAAAGTGAGTCACAAATCTAAAATATGAGTCTTTACTTGCATATATTAATTCTTAGCCTTTCCTGTAAATGTTCTGCATATTTCTTTCCTGGAGTCACTTGAAATTTAAAAGGAGCTATGCTGTCTTACAAGTTTTTTTGAATATGTCTGCAACTGTTTCACTCACAGTCCCCCTCCTTTCTACCCAAATGCACCAAAGGCAGAATAGCAGTAATGAACCTGCAATAAAATGGCATGGAGAGAGCAGTCCAGGAACACAAATGGCCACAACTATTGGTGCTCTACATTTATTAACTGCTTACATGCCATTATGACTTTGAGGTCCAAAGAAAGCATTACGTATTGGAACAATTCCTGCACTGTAGTTAAACCCATTTTGAAAAAAAAAAAAAAATAAAAAAAGAGGGTGGGAACTCAGAGGTATAAAAAGAAGTGATTTGCTCAGAGTTACAAAACTGGTTAGTAGCAGAACTGGTAGGGAATGCTGAGTCTTAAAAATCCAGTTCCTGGGTCAGGTTCCAGATTAATTCACAAGGTTACTTCAGAAACATGCACTCTTGCTAAAAAGAAGTAAAGATGAGGTGACAACATGTGCAGTAAAGATGTGCTGTATGCTGGTTCATTTGCTGTAATATATACCAATTATTGTAAATACGCACACAATTTTAAGGAGACAATATATTTAATTATACCTCCCTTACCTTTTCATATCTTTTTCTCTCCTTCTCTCTTTTTTTTTTCCCCTCTCATTCTGGTAGCTAGTTGAGCATTATTCATACAAGCCAGATGGATTATTAAGGGTTCTTACCATTCCCTGTCCACAACTTGGCTCAGAAAATGGTGAGTTATTCCTACTATTTTGAAACGTATAGTCACGTTGATGATGATAAAGATCTGTGCATTTTTTCCACTTGCCATGGCATGTAGGTGGGTGCAGGTTATGGTAGATTACAGTTGGATTAAAAAAAATTAACTGTTAAATTTCCAACTTTTCAAATGAGTTAAGATCTGCCAGACCATGCAGGATGGAGGCAGATCCTGTAGCTTAAAGGAGGCTACCAACTCCAATTATTGCTGTCTCTAAATTAATGTCAGATCCAAAATGTGCTTTGCTGCTCGAAGTGGCAGGGTGTGTTAGTTGGCCCACACACACTACCAAGGTGGTCATCCCAGCACTCTTCCACCAGTCCTTACTCCAAGCTGAGGGCAGCACATCGGCAGCGGTGCTATAGACATTCAGGTTGGGTGCAGATGTGTGCCTAACAGGTGAGTTGCTGGTAGATGAGGAGTTACTTCCCATGTTGTGGAGAGCAGGGCAGAACAAGGGATTGGCTGCACCTGATGCTGAAAATGAATGTCAGAGAAACATTCCTTGATAACTTGGGGGAAGGGAGGGGAAGGGATAGGGTGAAGTGTCCTGAGGTCCAGTATGCTCTTTGGCCTGTTTCTTCTTTAATGTCATGTTGAATACCGATGAGACTTTGTCCTCCCTCTTGCCCTGACTGCCAGGGGAAAAAAAAGATGCTTCTGCCTGATCCTTGTCTAACTTGTACTATTCCAGAAGTGGTGTTTTCTCCCTAAGGCCGCCTTCTGTCATTCTGACTGGATACCAGTGCTATGGTGAGAAGATATGCCCATACTTTTTCCACTCCTTTAATCATTTAGGCATTGCACATACTTTTGTCTCTATGGCAGCAAGAGCCAGAGTCTGCTGCACATTAGAGACAAAAGCAAAGAAGATGGGCCAGGAGAAACACTGTGGTGTGATTTAAAAACTGGAAAGTTGGTCACCTATGCAAAATTTTGTGTTCTTACAGTACATTTCTCACCTTGCTCAGCATCCTTCTACATTTGACTCTTTTACAGATAATGTTGTTTTTAACATGCGTTCTCCTCTTCCTGGAACCCCTTCTAAGGTAAGAGTAGGTGGTGATACAGCAGTAGCATTCATCTGAGAAGGCTTACAGTCACATTCTGTTCTAGGAATCCTAATGCTTGGATATTACTGCAGCAATGCATTTGTTCTTGTAGGGGTATAAACAGTAAGTTGAAAAGAATAAGCTTAGCATATTCTAGCATGGCTATTGCTTTCATCAGTATTTTCCATAAGCTATTCATCATTTAATTCTGTGAACTTCTTTTATATATACAATGTATGTGAAAATCAGTATTTTTCATATGCAAGATGCCTCATTGATGCCTCATTGATTCTATAGTGACTGTATCAACACTAGGAGGGACACTGCTTTGTTTATGTTGTCCATTTGGAGAATCTGCTGACTGAAGCAGAAATGGAGGTTCAATTTATTTTCATATATGGTGTGTGCAGTTAACATCAGACTTTGCATGAGAGTTTGATTCCTTGTGCAGTGAAATTAGGGGAAGTTCCTTCATCAACTCCATGAAGAATGAGCAAGCCCACCTGTGATTATAAATGCCAAAGTTCTTAGAGTCCATTGATTAGAGGAGCCACCTGAGGTGTGATACATAACACCATCTCATTCAGCTGTAGTTAATCTCATCTGAAATAGGGAGTTTAATTCAGTTGTTTCACCACTCCCTGGAGAGTCTAATCATCTAGGTCATTATCTTGATGCAGTCCCACATTACAGAAAAAAATATTTTGGTTCAAATAGGCAATTACATTTATTTCAGCACTGTTGAGTCCCTGTGGGTCCGTGAACAATCATTCTCATACCACTACTTTCTGAAAATCAGGTGGCCTTTCAAATGATTGGAAATTGTGCAACGAAAATTGGTGTAATTTTTCAAAAAATGTTGTTTGGATCTATGCCATTTACAAGGACAACCGTGAAGTTTAAGCACGTGAGACCACATGTATATCATCTGGTATAGACACAGGTATAGTGATAGAGCAAGCACATTCAGTGGGGGAATACTATGTAGGTTTTAGATTGTCCATAGAAAATTTTGCAGTTTAAGTGTAAATGAAAGTAAATTCAAGAAATCTTACTTTAGACATTTAACTTATCAAAGAAGTAGTAACAAAAAAACCCATGTATCTGACTAAGTTGACTGATGTTTAGGTCTGTGCAATGAAAGTAAAATGGGCCAACCTCCTCTATTTTCATCAGTGCATTGCAGTAATACCACCCCAGTTGTTCATGATACTTTACAGGTGAAAGACTCAGGCATACTAACAAGGTATGATTAATCTCACCTGACATTAATGAACTCAAATGAAGAGCCAGGCATTCAGCAAATCACAAAGGCTCGCTTTTGAGGCATTTTGAAGCAAGAGAGATACACATACCCATCTACATGTCCCTTCAGCCTAAAAGTGGTGCAATGACTTTCCACCAATATGTGCCTATGTCTTTCCAATCAGACCGGGCCTAGGTGATACTCAAGACTATGTCCCTTACTTTTAGGTAGCCATAGTTAGGTGAGATTAAATCCACATGTACTTGACCATGTACTTCTCTAGCAAATAGCTGACTTAAATACACTTGGTCACTTGCACATGTAACATACAACCATTAATATGTTTTCAGGATTGATCAGTAGTAGTTACATTTAAGACTCATCATGATGGATAGAAAGAAAAGCACCAAAGATATGAGTGAGATGTGTTGAGTGCATATTTTGCAAATATTCTCCTAAAATGTTGTTTAAAGCTACAATAGGTTTGACATTCTTAACTCCTTAAAACTGAAATCTGAATTTTATGTTTTCTTTAGGAATTTTATAAAACCAGCCTGCTAAGTTACTTTCCTGTAGTATAAATGTAGAAAATAGAAAGTGGAAAAATTTAAATTAATATTATTATTTATGGAGCTCAAAGACTTCAGTTAGTATGGCCAGGTTCTTCTACATTAATATCTATCTCCAAAAGCAGTAACTGACTAAAGACACTCATAGATTCTTCTTTATGCAGAGCCTGAAATACAATTAATTCAGATTGCAAAAACAAAAAAGCATCCTGAAAAGAATGAATACAATCACAAAGTCTTATGTAGAGGAGGTGCAGTCTATCTTCACATTATTTACACCATCATAATTAAGATTTAATTTTTAAAGCTTCTGACATTTCTGAAGCACTGCACCTTTTTTATTTTACAAAATGGATTGCCAAAATATGTGAATTGGGATTGTGAATATTTGAGTTGGGACTCAGAATAATTGTGATGAATTGGAGAAATGTCCTGGGAAAAAAAAAAGGTGAAGTTCAGTAGAAACTAGTGGAAGATATAGCACTTCTAATAGTCAGCTGTAGAACACAGGATGGAGAGCAGCGACAGTTTTTCAGAGGTTGTGATGCCTGTAATAGATCAGAAAAGGAACAAGGACCAGCAACCGTCATGCTGGTAGAAGAAAGGCAAACATCAAGAGTGTTTCCAGCTTGTTCAACACTGGTAAGGTCTCAGCTGGAATACTTTCACCAGTTTTTGGCACTGCACTGAAGAATGTTGTCCAACAGGAGATAATCCAGAGCAAGGCAACTGGAATGATCGTGACTTGTGAGAAAAGATTGGTTAGAGTAAAGAAGCAGAAGAGAGAGAGTAGAGGGACAGAACATGATTAACAGCCAAAGAAAGGAAGGTAGTAGGCTGTTCTGAGAGACAATCTAATAATGGTGTTCCCATCTAATTTTTCAATAGTTTTTTTATTTCTATATATATTAATGGCTGAAATATACTGGTGAGATTCCAAAGCCTTAATGGAGAGCGTGCCCAAACCTGAAGCTGCTTTGAAGCTAAGAGGCTGCATGACCACTGCAGAAAGATCTGCTGGGTAATCTGCAAGGCAGACTGTCCAACTAATTTAGCTGCAAACTCTTGGTATGTAAGGGCTTGGAGTAAAATTTACAACACAGAGGGAAGGGATTTGTGTAGTATTTGCTAATGCTCCAAAAAAAAACTTAGAGTAACAAAATGTTACTGTTTCTTGTCCACTTTTTGTCTAATCTGGACATCTTCTTTTTAGTGATACTAATATGCTTCCTCTGCGAAAGGAAGGACTTTCTGATGGAAGTCTGTATTGGAGATAATTTCTCCATGCAGAGTATGGAGGCTTACATCTTCTTACTTCTCTCAGCGCATGCATGGACTAGGACTTTTCTTGCCTTTCAGCAGGGGCTCCATAACTACATTTAAGGTGCTTTTGATCCCCTTTGACTTTGTGAATTACTTTTTTCTCCCTGCACATCATCCCAATATGTATTTAAACCTGCAGAGGAGCTTTTGATATGAGCCTAAAATCAGTTGTTGACATTATAGTAAAGCTGCCAACTTCTGGCCACTTTCCAAATTCTCCCTGTAACTTTTTTCAGTATTTTATTTGTTTAGCCACAGTGTATCAGATAGTAATAATAGACCTAAACGTTACGAGTACAGCCTAACTTTAGACTAGTACTGTTGCTGTCCCTGATTAAATATTCCTCTTAGCATGCATTTGTATGTCTAATACAAACATTTGGGTTAAGCAGTATTACCATTAAGGCAGTACAGGTGGTTACTTGGTCAAGTGCTGGGAGATACTCTTGTCGGTAAAGTATAATGAACCATGTTCACCATGGGCAAAAGAGTACTTAACCTCTTAGAGAATTTATCTGTTTCAAAACTATAGCTAAGAACTGCTTCAGGTTTCATTTGTTCCCCATATGGAAAGAGAATTTTGTGAGGTAAAAGAAAACAGCAGATTCAGTAAGCTTTTTCAATATGCAGTAACTGAATTTTTCTGTATCACAGCTATGAAGACTGTCAAGCATCAAAAAAGTTTCTGTTCTTCCAGCAGGAATAGGAACTGCATGGCTGTCCTTGCTGTTTTGAAACAAAAGATACCTTTTTTATGTGAAATCAAACTTTTTTTTCTAAAAAAGAAAGCTAGGAAAAATACTGATCCTACCCATTAGAAAAGCTATCTTTTCAGGAAAAAAAAATATCCAAATGAGTTATTGAAAAGTTCAGAACATCTAACTGTAAGTCAGTTCAAAGGCTGTTTATAGTGGCTGAGAATGTGGCTCAGATTATTATTTCAACCTCAGCATCAGCCTAAAGGCTTGGTTAATAAGCACTGCATTGCAGTTTTAATTAGGCAGGTATGATCTCTCAGCGATCCCTAGAAATGCTAATTAGTCATGTTTCATTAAATTAATGTATTATTGTAAAACATATTTGCATTTATTTTAAAAGTATCTGTATACAGAACATAAGTGCACATGTAAAATTTAAAGCCTGTTCATTTTTGTTTGGAATTAATATCAGTTTGTGTGCTTTTTGCTTAAATAACCACATTTTTTTGTTTTAAGACCAAGGTGTGCTTCAAATCTCACTTGGTACAGTAGTCATACTTCAAGACACTAGCTGTCAACTGGTTTACATTGCTAAATATGTTGCGGGGTTGTCTAAAGTTCAGTAACAGAGGCAGGAGAAACATACTGTGTAAAAGGCCTGGAGAAAGGGCAATGTGCTTGAATTTAAAAACTGCCTTAAGGTATATCTACATAATCAAGATGGTTTGAGAGTAATACAGCTGAAAGAAAATTTAGTACTAAGATTTACTATACTACATTGGTTTGATGCATCATATGTGTACTTGCAGGCACACACAAAAGACAGGTTGAGTGTTTTGTTCTTGTATACTACATCTGTTTTGTAAAATACCTTTAGCTATTTTCCTGACACATTTACTGTTCCTCTTTGACATTGTGGTTTCTAGAGTTGGGCAGGAGGTGGAATTATCTCAAGACTCAAATCGTACACCTTTCCAAAGGCTGGCAGCAAAAAGGTGCCTCATATAGTCTTTTTAGGTTTTTGACTGAGTTAAAAGGACTTACACTTGACTAATTTCACTCTTTCTCCCCCCCTCCCTTTTGGCTTGCTGTTACTAAATGTGTGTCTTAGATACTAACAATTGGATTGTGAAGATTTTGTAACCTTTCTGCTTCTTTCCTAATCATCTGCATAACTACGTCCTTGATTTTATAACTAAAGCAATGGTTTTAAAGAAGTTTTAAAAATTGAGGGACTATTTTTAAGTAATTTCTCACATCCCAAAATATTAGTGCAGATCTTAATATGTCTGCAAATAAAATGTGATAAAATGTTTTTCAAAAAATGGTCACTTAGAGCAGAACTAAATGATATTGCTTCTCTGAACTATCATTCTTAATCAGAAAATTGGCTTACTTACACAGTGCTGTTACTGAGCACATTTAGGAAACAACTTGTTAATATCAACCACAAAATGCGTTCTTACAGAACCTGTGTGCACAAATCTTGTTATGCATTGACAAAGTTGTAATGTTAATTACATTTGGGCAAGTGTAAGATGTCACAAGACCAAGCAGAATGGGAAAGGTGATAAGAAGTCAGGGAGTCAAGGGGAACCCAGGCCTGTACTAATGAAAATGCTGCTGCGTGGCCAGAAAATTATGCTGTCCAGTAATTAATGTAGTTGTGAAGCATGTAACAATGAGCTATGTTTGCATGCTGAGAATAACATGTGTTCCTATTCTACCCATGAGTCTCTCTTTTTGTTTATTTATTTATTTCTTGCCAGTTGCTCTTCAACAAAAAGGAGCAGACATAAAAAGCCCAAGAGGTATGCTGCTGTTCAGAGTGAAAAACTGTTTGACATATACTGTGTTTGATAATCCTGGTAGATAACAATTATTCTTTTTTTATAACTTCAGTTCATTTTTATACTGAAGTACCAATACCTGTCGTCATCTGTATATCCTTACAGAACCCATGTCTTGTTTTTAATGTGCTGTCATCTTGTACAAATACATATACAGTGTCAGGACATGTTCTAAAGCCATCTGAAAAAAACTACCATACTATCACACATTAGACAAGAGAATATTTTGGTTTTGTTCAGAAAAGTGAGTGTGGGGTCTGAATTATGTAGACATGGATTTGGTCATTCTGCTGTCTGTTCACCTGGTAAACCTGTGCTTCTCTCTGGTTGCTTTCTGCAGTCAAATACCTATTTTCTGCCTTCTGGGAAACATACACAGAGTACCGACTGAAGCATGTTGGCAAAGACCAATCATTTGAGAAAATAATTTCAGAAATCTGATTTGATCACCATGTACGTGTACTTAACCCTGAATATTCAAACCCACAAATTTCATCATACTGAGAAATTTTAGACTCTAAACAAAAGTCCTGCTCTGAACATTTCCAAGATTTACCATCCATTAACCCCAACATGCAGAGTTTACTTTGGACCTGTTTAATTAGGCAGTTCTCTTACGTTAAAAAATTTCAGACAGTAAAGTGGAAAGTGTATGCTGTTATATTTATTCAGTCTTGGAAATTATGGGGTTTTTAAATGTCACAAACTGGTTATTTGTACATAATTTTAGCACTCAGATCAAAATTTTTCAAGCCATTTTACTCACAAATGTAAAATTGGCAATTTAGACGACAATTTAAATGAACTCGTGCCACCTAGTGGCGACTTAGATGTCTTAGCCAAAGCTCGTTGAGGATTTGGCTAATAAGGTCTTTGTCACGCAGTATGTTGCTATTCAGTTTGGCTTAGCAAAACAAGACGACTTTATAGTCCTACATATATATTTGCGGTTTTGCAAATCAGAATTATTAACCTGAAAAGAAATAGCACTTGCTGTACTGATTGCCTTCATAAGTCTATTCTTTACTATAAAATTATCTTTACTATAAAAAATCAGAGTAGTTAGAGCCATTTCATTTATATTTTAAAGCAACAGTATGTGGGTCATTTTCTCATTGTATCAGCTAGATGCTATCAAACCTACTGAGGCTTTATCCATGTGTAGAAAGTGGTATTCCTTTTACTAGAAAGATAACTTTGAGTTAGTGCAAAATCTCTGACTCCTGCTTTTCTCTCATTGTGGATGTGGCTATGTTACTATAAAAGTGCCACACTAGTTTAGCTAGTCCCTAGTAAGGGGAAGAATGGTATATTTAGATTAGCTTAAATATGGGTACCTGAGAAGTTTAGCCAATGAAAATTAAACCAGCAGAGGAAAAAAAAAAATGTTGATGTGAAAACAGGACAGGCTCACAACAGATTTCTAGTATGACAGCATAAAATGACAGCCTGCCCCATAGTTTACGAGTGTACGTACCACAAGGTGTCACATAATATGTGCCATTTTTAACAGGCTCCTCTAGTGGACCCTTTTCTTGTTTCCCTTTTTACTGGATGAGCAAATCCATGCTCATTTTGCCCATTCTGTGCATCTTGTAAGAATACAAGGAGTAACCTCGTACCCTATACCTTGGTTGTTTTAAGACAAAACTCCCTTTGTCAGAAAAAGGTCTGCAGAATTAAACTTGCTGTTTTTAAAGTGTAGGGCAGAAAGGACTCTGGCTTTAAATGACAGTTAAATAAAAAAGAAATTCTATTGTATAATTACCCAGACCACTGTACATGCAACGATACATACCTCCTGCACCATTTCTAGTGAGCCTTCAAGAGAAAAATTCCAACCTTTCTGCTAGCAAATCCTATTCAAAGGCACGCAGGGTGCTATATGCCACGAATTCATAACTGGCAGAACTAAAGAAAAATATTTGAGGTTTTCTGAGTGCTGCACAATATTCCCAAGTTACCAATATGAGCTGAAAAGGTACCTGTGAAACATGAAATTGCAGTTCAACCAGAATTAATGAAAAAGCCATTGTTAAGCTGTTTAATTGCAGCAATGGGGAGTATCATTCCACACATACATATATATTAGTTAACTAAGCTAACACTGATGATATCTAAGACATTATCACTTATCTTAAACATGAGCAGCTCTCTGAGAAAGAGAACATGCTTTGTTAGATGTGGCGTCACTGTGTCATTTCCAATTCACAGCTGCAGAGTTTTATTCATAAGCACAGGAGTGATGCACTCTTTTTTTTTTTTTTTAATGCAGGTCCTGAACAAAAGCATCCAATCCTTTCTGATTCTTTTATTTTGTTCTTGAATTGCAAAGAGCAGAAAAGTGTCTATACGTCTGATTTGAGGAGTCAGTGTGTCATGGCCAGAGCTGTATTTTTACCAGCTGTTCTGCACTGGTGAATGGATTCTTGAGATGTATGAATTTGGTGTACATGAATTCTGTTTGGCCAGTCCAAAGTATGCCAGTTCATACGCTGAGACCTAGGATCAGGGATATTTAACTACCTCGCTAGTCTGCAGCTAATACCCATCACATGAGACCTTATGCCCTCCAAGTTTTTTTTAAATTTGTGGGGTTATCCAGTACTGTCTGAGTACTTCTTAAGTGTTTCTGCCCTGTTGTTCAGCAGCAATCAGATGAAGCTTACTTATCAGACCTGTACAAGGTGTTGCAGTGGAATTGGTAATTTCCATCATTATGGTTCAGCCAGCAGGGCTATACTGTCATCAGAAAAACATCACTTCTTCAAAGAGTAAGTTCAAGTCCATTTGAAATCTTGAGCTTATAATTTTCAAAGGCCTTTCCCAAAGTGCTTGTATTTCATTTCTCGTAAGCTTGGGTTGCGATGAGGAAAAGTGGTACATAATCTTGTTACTCATCTAAAAATGAGGAAAATCTGCTGAAGTTGTACCCTTCTGTGGGCTGAATTTATCTTCCTTGTTATGTAACAGGAAGTACACAAACTCTGTCCAGCACTTGACTGTTTGTGGGAAGAAAAAAACGGACCTGCTATGTTTCATTGGTTAGCTTGGAGCTCCAGCTACACCTATGTGACTTTACCTAATTGTCGTTGCAGAAAACATTTCAATTTTTAAAGTGAGGGGGGCATTTCAAGGCTTCAGTTCAGATATTCCCATCAGACTTTATGGTGCACAGTTGAGGTGCTCCCCACAGTGAAGAGAGGACAATTGATAGTCCTATCAAAGCTTTCAAAACGCAAAGGAGTCCCAGTGTGATGCAGTCTCTTCTGGATGTCATTTTCTGAACACTTTGCATTTCTATCAGAAAGATTATTTTAAGGGTAAAGTATGCAAAAGGTATCCTTTGAAACTATGATACTATAATTCCGAAGTATTTCAGAACTTTTCTTCCAGTATCCTGGAAACTGCCACTGAAGACTCAGCATCTCAGTCTCTTTCTTAGGCAGTCACCATATTTTTATCCTTTTTTTCCCACTCTACTTTTGGACACCTTGGCCAAGAATTTTTAACCAGAGGCTTCCATAACATCCATGCAATGTGGCAATTTGCACCTGCTTTCTTTGTACTTGTATCTGTCTAGCAACAGTCAGTTGTCCATATTGCTTTGTATCCACTCAGTTAATTGATTCCAATTACCTTTTGGAATGTAAAATGGTCTCCCTTTAAAAGTATAAATATAGTTAATGTAGGAAGCAAGAATACGTTCAGGAAGCTATCCAGTGGAACTATAATCACTTCTTAGTAGTAATGCTGAATGGTTCAAGTAAGTAGCAATGAGATAAAAAACTCTAAGCATTCTTGATGTGTTCTGAAGCAGTACAGGATATATGAAATGCACAAACTAAAATCACTGTGGTCTCAGTAAGTATAATTCCATCTGATTTGGTTTTGCTTTGCAAAAGATTATTAGTATTTTTGACTGAACATAAGCATTTCCCTATATATCCTGACACAATGTAGGTAAAGACTGTCCTAAGTGTTCACAGTGAAACTGCCAGCCCACCACTTGAGATATTTAGGGTTGAGTTCCAATCTTAGTGAGGTTTTTTGGGTTAGTGAATGGCCTGTGTGTGAAATAGAGTGATACAGGTCTTGGAAATACAAGTCTTAACTTGCAGACCTGGCAAGGTGTACCAGACTAGAAAAACAAAACTAGAGCTGAGGATCTGGTTTTATACCATTCATTTGCCTCCTTGTTCTTGAGATGGGCAGGTCAGTCTCAAAAGCATCTCAGGGTTCTTATAGCTTGCCCTGACAGCAAATGGCCTTTCAACACTGTTCCACGAGACTGAGTGATTCAAGTCAGAAACATTACCCTTACCATCCCTGATGCCACCATGCTCGTCCTACCAGGTCAGAATCTTGCCAACTGTCAGCCTCACACTCAGGGTTTGCTGTAAAATCTATGTAGTGGAACCTTTTCTGCTTCATCCAACTGGGCAGATCACTTCATTACAATTAAAAGTCTGTACCACCCCGGTCAGGCCTTTTCCCTACAAAATGCAGTTTGCAAGTGATAAAACTAATATTGCACTCAATAACTCACTCCTGGACATTTTGCAAGCTGTGTTTCTCTTTACTTGAAAACCACAACTGTTTCAGGCAGGAACTTATGCCACTGAAAGCTTTAGTTATTAAAAAGAATTTTATACTCAAATATTTGCAAAATAGCCCTATCCAGTGTTTTGCAAGTACAATATACCTTTGTTTCCTATTTGAGCTGACCAAACTCGTGTTGGTGTTTGAATTTCTGGTTTTAAACCACTCTCTTAGGAGGGTGAGGTCACTCATGAGTAGAGCAAAATGTCTACACTGAGAAAGAAAAGGGACTAAACCGCAGAAATAAGTTCTGTAATTCCCTGTTCCTGACAGTTTATAGACAGAAAAGAGCAAATTATAAGTTTCTCTCATCTATAGTTTATTGTGCCAGACTCATCCTTCAGCCAAGGAGCTCCAGAACACACTGTGTTTCTGCTGGGGAGGTTTGTATGCTCCATAGTATTCCTCTGACAAAGAGTAAAGGCAGAGGGATTGTATCTGAACCAGATGTTCAAGTACAGTCAGAATTAGCTCATTTTCTTCCTCCTCAGAGCAGACAGACTGGCCTAGTATCTGGCCCATAATGTTTGTCCATGACATTACACAGGTCTATTAAAATAATTACTTTTTATCCCAGTTTCTTCCTAGGGGAGTCACTCTATAACATCCACAAGAGAAACAGGGAAGTATTTTTTGTTTTCATTTGTGCTCTATGGCCTAGATATGTAGAGAGATACCCTGGAGAGGGAGGAAGGACAGATTGAAGAGAAATCCTTATGACTACCTGTGTTACAAGGAAGATTTGAAAAGAGCATGTGAATTTAATATCTGCAGAATAAGATTTGTGCATGACCCATTCCAGTTAATTCTCTCAGATCAAATGCTCTGAAATATTTGCAATAACTTTTAATGCTTCAGCAGTGTATGTTTCATTTGGCCTGCATATTTACTCAAGCAATAACCTCCAAAATGAAATAAACTTTGTTGGATCCCTTTCTTACTTTCTGATTCTCACCTATGTGTCTTTTGCAATCATTATCCCATATCCCTATAATCCTTGGGGGAAAAAAAATGCTTTTGACCTACCTATTCATTACTAAACATAAAAACTTTATTTGTGTACTACAGCTTCAGCCAACTATTGGCTACTCACCTGATGAAGCACCTTTTAATCCTTATGTGCTACAAAGAAAGAGAGGTCTTACAGGAGCAGAAAAAGGTAGGCAGAGTAATTTATGTCATTAATACACTTGCCTTCTTTATGCCAGAGATCTCTCCTCAACCCATATTTCTTTTTTCCTGCATATATTTCACACCATGTTGTGTATTGGTTAGCCACTATCATAGCTCAAGCCTGGTAGCTGAAACTGCCAGATGTCGCCATCTGTAATAAAAGTCATTTAGCAGAAGTCCCTTTTTCTGTGTTGAAGAGAAAGATTATTACTTCCTTGACTCTAGAAGCCTCATCCTTGCACTTCATAAAAAGAATTGTGCCCTGTTGCATCCACAGTGTCAAGCTAGTGCTCAGGCTTTCTGTAAAATGCAACTAAAGATGGGTGCCTAAGAATAAACTACATATAAGGCAGCATTCTGAGTGAAGAATTGTCTGAGGTAACTAATGGGAAGTACTAAGGAGAAGGGCCTGCCTTTAACCCTCCTGTCAAGGAACCTGCTGGTTTCACATTATACAGATGCTCAATAATTAGAGCATGTCACCAGGTGGAGGTCACTCTCTTTTGAGGTGTTCTAAAGTGCCTGTAGCCGGACTGCATGTGGTTTCTTTATAATGCCCTCGTAAGTCAAACACACTGATAATCCTGAACATAGAACAGGTGAATATAGTAGCTATGGCAGCAAAAATGTCTCACATAATGTCTGATTTTTTCATTGATTGAACCGCAGGTGATCAGAGGGAGGCCTTACCCATGGATACGGAGGTCTATGAAAGTCCATATGCTGATCCAGATGAAATGAAACCAAAAAATGTCACTCTTGACAGGAAATTGTTAACCTTGGAGGAAGGAGAGCTTGGGTCTGGCAACTTTGGTACTGTAAAGAAAGGGTTCTATAAGATGAAAAAGTAAGTGTTTCCTTCTACTTTCATGGAGTCTCATATGTGAAAGCTGTAGCCTTTATTTTGTGGAGCAGCAGTAATCTTTGCATGTCATTTCAGGTGTCAGACTGTACCTAAGTAATTTGGGCTACCATTCACCGGTTTCTCTCTTTGTACATACACTCATAGACTAATTTTCTGTACACTCATTTTCTGTTCGTCTGCTGGCAGACACTTCTTTGCCTGCAGCATAGTCACCTCCCAGCCATTATTTTTGTCTGTAGAGTGGGGAAGTGCCCCTTATGACTATTTTCTTTCCTGTCAGGGATAGTAGAGTGGGAAGTCTGCTGCCTTCCTCCATAGTTTGCATGGGCAGTCATGCTACTCAGTATTTCCCAACTGCACAATCTCTCTTTGAGAAACAGTGTGAGTGCCATGGACAGCTTACCTGTAGCAAGGAGATTTTCATCTAAAATAAGTATGATAAATACCTGTTTCATGAAGCCGAAATGTTGATTTTCAAGAACACAGACCATCTTGTGACCTCTTTTATCATGTGATTACAGTAGGAACAGACCCTGTTTATACTGGCAGAAGTGAGAGCACCTGACTGTTCATACATTTTCATAGTAAACTGTTATCAATATGTTTAAGTGCATGGGCTGGTTTCACCACTTGAAGCTGGAGGCATTTCTTTAACCAAGGTTTTCAGAGCCAGGAAGGATTTTTCTTTTCCAGTACAGTCTGAGGGGATTTGAAGGGCTCTGGTCCCAGCTTGTGTATTTGCTAATCTTGTTTCACACTTGAGCTCTGTCGATCTCATCAGTCACTCTTTCACTTAGTTGTATGAGCTGAAGGTTGTAGGAGTAGGCTTAGTTTCTAAGGATTTCAGAGCACTGCCTTGGGGCCTTGCAACGCTGCGTGTTCTAGTCTCACCCCCAAAACACCTCAGTGCTTAGAAAGGCCTTTATACCTTTTCTGGCAAGAAAAGATTTATGGAATTCTTGCCAGAATGGGCAACAAAATTTTGTCCATTAAATTTGTTTTCAGGCTTGTTAAGATGTTTTTATGACTATTTATAGTTTTCCCAGGTTCTTCCCATTTTCTCTCTTTTGCTTAGCTGTCTTCTGAGCATTTGATAGAGAGATGTTACTATTACAGTTGGATTTTTTCCATCAATTCTGTCTTTTGTCACAGTTTGTACTATGTGCACAGAAACGTCAAATGAAGATTGTGTGTGTTTTCACACAGGTTTTTCAGCAACTAATCCCAGAACTGGATTCTTTTTTGTAGGGGTGCCAAGCCAGTGGCTGTAAAAATTCTTAAGAATGAGAGTAATGATCCAGCCATAAAGGATGAATTACTGAGAGAAGCAAATGTAATGCAACAACTGGATAACCCATATATTGTCCGAATGATAGGCATATGTGAAGCTGAAGCCTGGATGTTAGTGATGGAAATGGCTGAACTTGGGCCATTGAACAAATTTTTGCAAAAAAACAGGTATGTAAGCTTTGATTCCATTGCATAGGATTTATCCAAAGGGGAAAAAAGATAGAGGTTCCTTTTTTTTTTCTTTAAGGGCAATTTTAAATTGACATGTTATTAATGTAATAATTAATGATTGTAGTCAGTCTTCATTGGGACACGATTGTCTTGTACATGTCTCCTAACTGTCAAATACTTCTGGTAATATAGTATATTTTGAATAAATGAAAGAATTTTCACATGTCCTTCAATTGCTCATTTACTGATATGATCACACATCATTTCACTCAGGACATTCTTACGCTGCCTGTTCTAATTAAAGCTTAGCTAAACATAAGTAGATCAGGTTCCTAGTATGATGTGGGGAAGTTCATAGTAAAGATTTATATTTGAACTCCATGAAAAGTCATGAAAGTGAACTCCTGACCTCTTAAAAATTCAATTATGATTTTCAGACATGTCACGGAGAAGAATATAACAGAGCTGGTACATCAGGTTTCCATGGGGATGAAATACCTGGAGGAGAATAATTTTGTTCATAGGGATCTGGCTGCAAGGAACGTGCTATTAGTCACACAACATTATGCCAAAATTAGTGACTTCGGACTTTCTAAAGCTCTTAGTGCTGATGAAAATTATTATAAGGTAAGGTTTGCACAAGACGTGAAAGCTGTATAGTAGTATAGCCTAACAAGGTTATTTTCAGTTGAAGTGCAGTTGTTTTTAAAAGTTGAAAATTAGAAATAATATGTATCATCCATTATTTTATAGCCTAATAGTAGGTCACTGATTTTCAAAATGCATCTTCAACATTAAAAGATGTGTAGGGAGGGAAAAGCTAGTCCCTCCTTTATTTGCTTACTTCTTTCATTTACTTTTGGTAAACTTGTCATCAGAAGATTGAAGTTTGTGGTGGAAATAAGTTACCCCCTTATATAAAAGGGGAAAATGTCTTTGTTGCAGATATGAAGTTTTGGGCACTTAACAGTTTTCACCTTGTGCAGGGAAAATTAGGCTAGCACACTGTATTATTGACTAACAGAACTGAATTTGGGGAGGTTTTTGAAAGAATACCATTGGTAAATAATCAGTTGATCTAAGCAGAATTTTTTTAGCTTGGTTTTAAATTCATTGGATCCTTGTACAGCTAAAGGGACTGAAATAACAGCCACATTTAATAAGGTGAAAACATCTGTGGAAGACAAAGGCTCTAATCGTGTCTGCATCTTTTTTTCTGATATATTGCTCTTGCAGTTCAAATTATTTCTTCCTTCTGCCTATTCCCTTTCATCAGCCGTTTAAAACTAATAAGCCAGACCATGAAACGCTGCAGAGGAGGAGCAAACACATACTCCCTTCTGATGACCTTCCTACGGGAATAGTAACTGCTGCCAGAAAAGGCAGTAACATCTTAAATCACTGCCACTAGCCTAGCCAGAGCTGCTTGTCAGAGGTTTGAGAATTGGTATCAAAGGCCCATTCCCTTTAAAACTCCACAAAATGCAGTGGGGTTCCTTCACTAGATCTAGCACTGTGCTGGGATAGCTTTACACTCGCAATGTTGTGACACAGTGTTATGGCATAATTTTATCAAACTGCAGTTTGGCACAAGGCAGTCACTGTGCTTTGAAATGGAGCATCAACTTCAAGTAATAATGAGACTCAGTGTAGCTAGGTGTGTATGTCCTACCCTCTGTTGAGAGCCTAGAAGAAAAATCTTAGTTTTAAAGAGCAACTTTAAATTAACTGCCACTAAAAACATGACTGCAGGTCATTTAGCTAAGCTTTGCTTTACCATAGATTTCATTTCAGTGCATTATTTTGAAAGCATAAAATTAGGAACATTTTTGTAACACTTTTGGAGAAGCCGCTACCCATTCCCTCTAATGCCAACTGCATCAGAAATGTTATGGTACTTAGTGCAAATGTGTGCAGAGCTAAGTTAAATTGGCTTATATGAATACTGATGTTTACTACTTACCACTGTCTCTAGCCTGCTTTTTTTTTCTTTCTGTTATGATTTATTTTAGGCACAAAGTCATGGAAAATGGCCAGTCAAGTGGTATGCTCCAGAATGCATGAATTTCTACAAATTTTCTAGCAAAAGTGATGTCTGGAGCTTTGGGGTTTTAATGTGGGAAGCTTTCTCTTATGGTCAAAAACCATATAAGGTGAGTAGTTCTATCTGGCCATTTTTTTTCTGTAAAAATTCAGAGCAAATTTGAACCATCACCTTTTCTTACCTAAAAAGAGTTATTGCAGGCCAAAGCAGGCCTTCGCGCCCTGTCTGTTGCAGCGGATGAATCAAAGGATAGCCCAAAAATCAACGCCAGGCCTCTGTGTTTTATGCTAGCATGTGTGCTGTAATCATTTCTGTTGTGGTCACCCTCTTCCAGGGAATGAAAGGTGGCGAAGTCGCACAGATGATTGAAAGAGGAGAACGAATGGAACGTCCTGAAGTCTGTCCAACAGAAGTCTATGATCTAATGAAATTGTGTTGGACATACAAGTGAGTGTGGTGTGATGTGATGCTCTCTCTTTTAATAGGAGTGTATTTTAATCTACTTAATTAATAGCCAGAAAGTGGGGGGAGGGAGGGAAAGGCATTTCAAAATACTTTGTTTCAGCTGGTGTTTAGCTTACAAACAACCTCCAAACTAAGGAATTAGTTGCACTTTCAAGTGAAAATTATTTGAGTTATTGAGTGTACTACAACAAGCTGATTTTGCTGGAACAGATATATACAAAAAATAGGGCATCATAAAAACCAAGTAGTTCCACAAGGAGTTCGGTCTGAAGTATTTTGAAAAGAAAGTTTGAAATTAAGCAAATATTTTTGTTTCATTTTGGATGGTATTTTGTTTAATTTTCATTTCCAAGACTTTTTTTCTTTACTGAAATTTCAAAATCATATTGCCAAATTATTCATTCCATTCCTCAATAACTAATTGTTTCAACCCATTTTTCTCTTCTGTCATTCCTAAATATGCTCAGATTGGATCCCACATTGGCTTCCTATTAGTGAGAGGCAAAACTTCTTTTCAGATCATACCTAATATGTCAGAAACGTTTTTTTTCTGATCGATAACAGTTCAGAAGTTAGAATTATGAAATACAGAGAAGAAAAAAAGTCTACCTGATATTCTTTTTTAATTAATATATTGCAAAAAAATTATTAAAGATGTTTTATGATTTATCATTTTAAACTATTTTGTTGAAGTTACTTTGAGGTATAGGAAGGTCTCCATAAAGCACCCAAAATCTGCTGTAATGTCACTTATTCTTCCAGTTCACCATCTGGAGAATATGTGTGTCCAACAAAGGTCTCTGGATTCCATTTAAGGAGCTGTGGTACTTCACTTTTAGGTACCTTGCTTCTTTGTTAGTTTTATTACATCTAGTACTCTAGAAAGAATGTGGAGCCATAAAATAATTTCTGCCTTTTGGTTTGACTCAAAAAATGCCGTAACAGTTCTAGACTGAAAGGGATCATTTTTTTGTTATGATTAATAAGCATATCATAAAGCATGCTGCTTTTTATTTGTTTGTGCTCAAATATCTTTAATACTGGAAAGAAAAGGAAAAAAAAATTTTAAAAGAAGGCTCAAGTCATGCAGTGTAGCTATCTCAATATGTAATGTATTATTGTAGGGGCTTGTTGTCAGTTTAATTGTGTTCTACCAAATCAACAAAGACTTGCAGATATAGAGGAAAGAAAGACAGTACAGCCATACAGTGTATGCATAGGCTCCTCTCAGTGGTGCTAAGCCACTCTGTATGACTGTAGTACCCATTATAAGGCAGATATTGCACTGTTCTATAGATTATTACTGAAGTAAATGAAGTAGAAAATGAAATGGAGCTGATTTACCATTTCTTTCTTGTAGTACCTTCACCAGCCACGATGTAACAGGCATGATAGTAAATCCACTGACTGGGTGCTCTGTAGTGACATTTGCCGCTTGGTATTCATTTTGTAGCATCATGTTTTTTAGCCTTAAAATACTGCAAGCAGCTCTAAATGAGCTGTCACTGGGGTGAAGTCCCAACCGTTACAAGGCCCATGCACCTTTACAGCTTTCTCCTTCCTATGCAATGATACTTGTCATCTTTCCACAGTGTTGATGACCGACCAGGATTTGTTGCAGTCGAGCTGAGATTACGTAACTACTATTACGACATTTCCCACTAACAGCATGAAGAACAGCAGCTTCCTTGCCTCCAGGCAACACCCCCTGTGAAGCAGTTCAGTTTCTGAGACAAAGCGACTTTGATTTTTGTACTGCCGCTTTCACCCTGCAAAGCTCAGAGCTAAGCCCTGTGTCTGTAGGGTTGCCTTTTCTTGCCTTCTGCACAATATCCTGCCCTGAAATAGTGTTGAAAGTGGAGAGGCCCCAAAGCGAGCAGCAAGGATGTCAGAGCAGATGCTTATAATTTTGCTACATTTTGTTTCATTTTATTTACAGCTTTATTGGCATTACATTTTGTGGTTGTGGAAAACCTATTTAATGTCTTTCAGCCCTCTTCCTCTCTTGTATTTGAATTGAGATTGGAATTTAGATTCTTTTTATTAATATTCTTAGCCCTTAAATGCATTAAGACTTCTTCCAGTCTTCCCCCCACTCAAGGAAGAATAGCATAAACATTTCTCACAGTGAAGTAAATTCACTGTGAAAGTGTGTCAGTTGCTTTGACTGACAGCATGTTTGATTTTACCCCCAAGCCCCTTTAAAACCAAATCGTATTCTTTTCTGTAGTAATGTAGGCAGAGGGGAGCTAGGAGATGTGAATTTTTAACATCCTCATCTCCTTTAAATGTGACCAACTTCTCTCATTCCTCATCTCATGTGGAAGCTCAGCTGTCCCTCAGGGAGTTACTTTTTTCCTGGTGAAACCCCGGAATTCAGGGACTTGCTTTCATCTTGGAATGAAATGTATCAGCAACTAAGACAATGATTCTGGGTTTTAACATAAACTCCATCACTGCATTCCTGAAAAGACGGCTGTACAGTGAAAGGTGATGGAGCAGCACCTTTCTTTCTCTGTACTGTTCCAGCCTTCTCCAGAGACACCTTTCCCACATATCCCTTTAGGTATACCAAAGCTCCTTGTGTTGTGTTTTGAGCAGCAATCATTTCTGTCTTTTTCCAAACCTTTCTTGAAAAGCATTTGTGAGAATTCACCACACCTTATTGCCTCTAAAGCCAAATTTCACCCCTAGCTCAAATATTTTAAAACAGGCATATGGACATCAAGTTTACTTTCATCTGCTCCTAAATGTTAGTATTTGTCCTGTTATTAATCCCTGTGAGCATCTCAGGAAAAGGTATTAATCTTAGCACTTTTTTGTAATGCAGTGTGCATCTCCATTAATGTGCAAGTATAGCGATAGTAATAACAAATAACGTAATCAACTTCTTATACTATTTTTACCCTTATGCTTTGTTTGTCCAATCTCATTTTAAATATTATAGATATCAAAATTTCTATCACTTCTTCCTCACAAGCAGCTACTTTACTGGCATTTACATGTATCTCAGGAGTCTACATATATTGCATCTACTAGATACAGAGATTTTAGAACAATATAAAGAATAAGATTTAGAGTTAGATATATTTATTGCATATGGCTGTTTAGAACATACATGTTTAATTGTTGTGTGAACAGAGTATTCTTAGAGATGCAGTGATTTTTTTTCTCTAGCAGAGAAAACTGTGTAGGCAATTACAGGGAGAAAGTGTGAAATAATTTTCATAAAACAGGTGACTATAAACAAATGTAGGAGTTACTGTATTTTTTTTTCTTTTTATTAAGTTTATGGTCTATTTTTCAAAAAATACCTGGTGATTTTTGGTAGTTTAGTCTTGGATGTCCACTGCAAGACACTTCAGAAAACACACGCTACTGAAAGACACTGAGTGCGATAGACCACATTTCAAATGTGACCAAATGTGACTTATATTGAAGATGATTTATTTTTTGTTTTGTTTTTAAGAAACATTTTTCTACAAGAACAGCTTGTGTAGAAGTTAGCCATAGTTATATGTAGTTGTTTTGTCTTTTTAATCCTATTGCAGAGAAATTGTTAGCTCTACATGTGCAATTAGTACATTCATGGGGATATTAGTTATAAACAAATTGCACAAATCTCTACTAGCCAGTGAGTGACAGTACTCAATTTCCCTGATGTCTCTCCCCCCCCCCCCCCTCCCCCCTCCCCCCCCCCCCCCAAGTGTTATCTGATACAACAAAACTGGAGGAATATTTCTTCCCCTCTCTTCTGAGTGAATGTCACTTTCTGGTGTTACTTGATTATTTCTAACTTGACTATTATGTAATAAAAATTTACAATGAGAATATAAAGTATTGTGAAATAAATGGATTAGGTTTTAAAATTGAAATTAAAGATACTTTTACAAAATCTGTTGTTTTAACAATAATCCTTTAACATTTAAGTGCTTTCTAAAAAATGCTGATGCTGTGGAGAGCGTGTATATTTGCTGAATTGCTGCGGAACATTAAGATTCCCCCACTGAGACTGAAAGGTACCTGACATGACAGATAAGCCCACTGAAGCCTGGGCTGCTTTTGGAGCTATTCAGGACTAGCAGGAAAATCTCCCAAAATGAGCATGTCATTATTCACCTAAGTCTTTCCAAGATACTGCTTTTCAGCAGCACTGTGCTGGATATGCAAGGCTAGAGGTGTCAGGAGCTGGTGCAGCATATCAGCTGTCCAAGGATTTCAGCATTACAGGTATCAGCTATGCAGGATTTAAGTCATATTATACCACATGGAGCCTCCCTCAAAGGTGCAGGCAACTGTTCTAGGTATTCTGAAATAACAGAGACATCTTAGTCTTTCACTTAGCTTTTGCTGCAAGCTCAAGTCCTCAGGAAAGCAAAGGCTGGAGGGGACTGAATGCGAATCTGAAAAAGAAACAACAAAGGCCAAAAGGCAGGCTACTCCTCAAGCAGGTGCTTACCTTTGGCGGGGATCAGTCAGTGACTGACTTACACTGTACTGCTGTGGTTGTTTTCCTGCGTAGCAAATCTGGCCTAATTACTCCACCTTCCCACTTGTGGGACTGCACCATCAACTGATGTGAAGGGGCTTTTGTCTTTTGGCTGTCTGGATGTGGTTGTCTTTATTTTCAGATTGACTCCTATCAGAAATGCCATTTGGCAGCGTGGCCCCACAAGTAATTGTCACAGCAGGGTCAAGGGGTAGCGAACTGCAGCAAGGAGGAAGGGAGGCTGATGTGAGTAACTCAGAGAAGAAGGAGCAGGTGTGAACATGTTAAACGGGTTTTTCAGGGGAGGAAAACAGAGTGTAATTACAGCTTTGGTTAGGGCTCAAATCTGCAAAATCATGGGTTTTTTTCAGAGCACAGGAGGCCATGCACCTTTTCCCATAAAGACCCACCCAAACTTCTTAAAAACCCCAGCAAAATCTCCACCTGCTTCAAACACTATGCAAAAGGGGGACTTTTAATCACCCAGTCAAAAATACCCATGATTTTCCCACCTGAAATCGTCACAGTTGGAACGGCGGGTTTGACAAGAGAGCGCGTCCGAGCGTTGTGGGCTGAGACAGCTGTACGGCCCGGCCCTGCCAGGAGGTGGCAATACTTGAGCGCTGTTAGACGGACGGACTTGTCCCACCATTTCTGGCACTCTCCCTTCCACCCCGGCCCTTGATGTGCCTGTGCAGTACGGAGGAACCTGTTTGGCCATTTTCTGCTTGCTGACAAGCAAAGTTCCATGCGAGGACAAATCATCAATGATTTATGTCATGAGTGGTTAACTGTGCAAGATTAACGAAGACGTCTGAGACTCTGTGTCCGTTTGTCTTTTGAGTCATACCAGCAGTGGAGGATTGCAGGCGGAAAGATAAAGAATATGTCCCACACATGCAGAGAAGGGAGTGAGGGTGGTGTCTGGGTTGAATAGTACAGGGGAACTTTAAGCCAACAATTGTAGTTACCTGCCCTAAGTTTAGTAAGGACAGAAAGCCTGTAAGTCATTCAGAAGAGGAAGAAGAAGAAAAAAAAGGGAGAGGAAAAAAAAAATGCACCGTCTGATTCTTGACAGTGAAGAAAAACAGTATTGGACTTAAAACGATCCCAGACTCAGATGGAAAAGAGCCACATCAAGAGTCAGTATCACCACTCCCCAGCAGTGTGTCCCAGCGCTACACGCCATGGTGTGATGCGAGACAGTGGCACAACTGCATTTGGGCCCTAGCTCTCCCTGCCGGGGTGGCTTGTGGGGCAGCTGGGGACTGAGACACAAACAAACACGTGGGGCACCCATGTAACCTGTGAAGGTTTGCAGCTGGAAAAGGAGGGGAGGAATGAAGGTGGAGCATGCAGTGAGTATCAGAAAGACAAGGTGTGTCGGGAAAGAAATTGTCTCCTATGTGATTGATTAATAGTGCTGGAAAAAAGAGACAAGCCTATGGCATACTCATCTTCCTTCAGGCTTGTATTACACCATGGATTCCTGTGAAACAACAGTCAAAGCAATGTAGTGCAAACCCGACTGAAAACAACAGTTCTCCAACTGCCCAGAACTCTCTGAAGCCAGGCTAGCACTGTGCATCAATCTCCAAATGGGTATTTTTTTCTTTTCTCTCATGGTAATTGAGGTGAAAACCCACTGGGTTCCTTGGCATATAATTAACTCTGCACTGAGTATAACCACTGCTTCCCTGAGGCAGTGGAGATGTGCACATTTCTTGATAACCAGAGAAGCAGAGGAAACAAGAGGCAGCTGGGGAAAGCATTACACTGCTGTCCATTAAAATTCATAACTTCGAATGTAAATAGCACCTGGATAACTGGTCCAGTACAAACATGCACAGATCACTAACTCCTCACATCTGTCTACCATTGCAAATGCCTTAAACTGTCAGGGTGAAAGCCTGTTTGGTCCAGGCCTTTCTTAACTGTAGCAAAGTGCTTGTGGAGGACTCCCACCGCCACATTGGTGCAGCTCCAGCTGCCCGCCTGGGATGCCCTGTGCAACAGCAGGTTGGTAAGGTGAGTGCCTGGCTCCCCATGCCTCTATCGTGTTAGAAATACAACCTGCAACAACAACAACAACAAAATAGAAACAACTTTGCAAAGAAGGGTTCAATGCCACAGAAAATAGTGTGAGCCATCAGTCCATGCTGCAACACATGGATACTCACTTTGTCCCACCACATTGCCACCAGCAGTGGCTGCATTAACATCAATATCTGTTCTTTCTTCTTTCTGCTTTGTTAAAGTGAAATTATGCCAGTTTCAGCAACAGCAAGAGTGCCAAGACGGTAACTGCATGCCTGTACAGCAGAACAGGTAGCAGAGGCCTTTTATAGCTGTCTCTTGCAGAGTTTGAAGACTTTGCTTTTAAAACATTACACACACACATACACATGAACATGTGCACGTGTAGTTTCTTGTCATTCTTTCCTACCTGTGTTCAGTAATGCCCTGTCCTGCTGCCTCAGTTCTTACTACACAGCCACTGTAGCTGTATCTTCAGATCTTCTTCTAATTTGTGTGCAGATTTCATCAATGTTATCAAATTAATTCTTTCTGACTGGTGTATCAGGTCCCACCTCCAATACCCTGAAGCAATGACCAGCTGGCAAAGAATTGCTAATGTTGGTCTTGAGTCATATTTCTAGAAGATAGCAAGGAAACTGCGTGGAAGGGAATGGCTGTGGCAGGCAGGGATGCATATAGAGACACAGAGAAACAAACTCACTGAGATTGCCAAAGAGCAGAACTTTGGGGTATTTTTTCCACTCTACTTTGGAGCGGTTGTAAATTGACTGTTTGGCTTGGTTTGATGTTTCTTTTCCCAGCAGATGTGTAATTTGGAGCCAATGCTTCCCTATTTTTCCACAGTAATGACACGTCTTAGCCATGGCTGGGTATAAACACCTAGATTATCAATGTCAGTTTGTTTCAGCAAGATTTCCACTGTTGCCAGTAAATCCCCCAAACTAGTCCGTTTATATGTGTGCAACTACAATTCTCTTCTAGCAGCTTCCACAGGCCTCATTCTTCCGACTACTATGCAAACACATGCTTAAATTACCACAGGAGCACCAGCAGCCAGCCCTCTCCCAAAGCCTTCACGCTCTCTCTGACGGTCACGGGACAGCGCAGGGAAGTGATCCACAATAAACTTCAGCCACCACCCACAGGAAGGCTCCTAAGCTCTTTCTCACAGCACGGCTGGTTTTCTAGATAATATGGCCTCTTTAATAATGCAAATACAAAATGGTACAGATATTTAGTATCAGATGGCAGTAGTGTAACAGGACCCCCCACACACACCTTGCATTGAGTGCAGATTGGGAGTACAGGTTCC